GGGGAGCCAGCCTGGACCTTCCTACAGCTGGCCATCTATTTATCTCCCATTTTCACGTCAACAGAGGACTTTGTTTCTTTAATCAAACCACTGACTAAAGAGCAATGACAGAACCAGAGTCAGGTACAAACTGAAACAGGGAGAGAGGAGGCACCAAGGACAAATCAGGAAGAGAGAAAGCAGCTGTGTCCAGACGCACTCCTTCAGCCCATCAGCCACCCTCAGTTTCTTCACAGATGCCCTTCAACCTCTTCTCTCAGCCCAAGAAGATGGGGGGCCTGGGTAAGCAACCCATCCCCTCCTCAAAGCAGCCACCAGCCACTGGCCAGCCCTCTCCCACAGCCTGGCAGCAGACTTCTGAATGCAGATCACGTTCCTGTGCAGGGACACCAGCTGCTTGTACAGGCCTGTACCACAAAGCACTCCACAAACACTTGTTTCAGAGCTCTCCCAGTCTAGCAGCAGGGGCTGCCACCACCACTGTCCTGAGGGGAATCAAGCTAGGAGGCACCTTGCTAAGAAGGAAGCCCAGAATCCCAGGCCTCCTGAGTTTTCTTTCCTCTCTGCTACCCCTTGGCCTGGATCAAAATTCCAGCTCTATGCTACCACTCTACCACAATTACTGTCACTCACAGTAAGAGGTAATATTTACTGGACAGTGGTTCCTCTAGGCAGGCTCACACTCAGAGGTCTACATGGCCAACACTAAGAAATCTGCAAGAGAGCTGTGTGCCACCACGCCTGTTTTTTTTTTCCTTCTTTTTCTGGGCAGTACTGAGGACAAGGGTGCTCTACCACTCCAGCCCTTTATGGTTTGTTTGGGTTTTTTAGTGGTAGACGGACACAATGCCTTGACTTTATTTACTTTTATGTGGTGCTGAGGATTGAATCCAGTGCCTCACACGTGTCAGGTGAGTGTTCTACCACTAAGCCACAACCCCCGCCCAACCCTTCATGTTTTTGACACAGGGTCTCATTAAGTTGCCCAGGTTGCCCTTGAATTTGTGATCCTCAGCCTATTGCTAGGATTATAGGCGTGAGCCATCACACTTAGCTCAAGGGAGCTGTTCTTGTCTTCCATTAACTGACAATAATCCCAATCCCCTGCTTTGGTAATAACAGAACTCCGTACCTGGTCAAGACCACCCAGAACAAAGTCTACACCTCTTAGTTCCCTGGAGTTGTAGGTGACCATGGGACTACTTTCCAGACAATGGGATATGGGCAAAGGATCATGGGAAAACCTCTAGGAACTTTCTTAACTAACATGAGCAACTTTGTCCCTTTTCTCTCCCTTCTTCCTCTCTGCTGGATGGGATGAAGACACGATGACTAGAACCCGAGCAGCTCTCTCAGACCTCAAGTCAACACAGGGAAGAGGACCTGTATGCAGCAGAACCACAAACCAGTAGCCTAGATCCCAAACAGAAATGGCTCCTCTGGTCATCACCTTTGCATCACTGCTGCCTACCTCTCAGGCCTGCTGGAAGAACTAAGAAGGATGTACCAAAGCAATGGGCATGGAGCCTGGCACACCATACCACAATAATAAATGGTAGCTATTAATGCCTGAATGCTACTGGCTTCTGACCCACTGCTGGGGCCTCAACTATGACCAACACAGATCCATGCCCTGCCATCAGTCACATTCAAGTTATTCTGATACCACTAGGGATGGTCTTCCTCACCACCCAGTGGATCCTTCCTGGGTGACATAGCAAGCAAGGAGCTCTTGAAGCTTCCTGCTCTCTGCAGAATGGGATAAGAGCAACCTGCATTGATCTCTGAGTATCTGTGAGATTCAAAAACATCCACACAGATAGGGGCAGTGGCACACACCTGTAATCCCGGCAATTCAGGTGGCTAAGGCAGGAGGATCACAAGCTTTAGGCCAGCCTGGGCAACTTAGCAAGACCTTGTCTCAAAATAAAAATAAAAAGGGCTGAAATGTAAGCTCAGTGATAAGAGTACTGCTGGGTTCAATACCCAGTACAAAAAAAAAAAAAAAAAAAAAATCCACACATCTAAAACCCTTCTTGGTGCCAAAGAAGGGGCAATTAAGTGGCAACTACTATTGTTAATACTGTTTTCTTTGTCTGTTCTTTCAAACCACATTTGCTAGGTCCAAACTTGGGATGTAAATGTGATCCAAAAATACCTGTTCCAATCTCAAAAAGTTGGGGGTGTGTATATGTATACATTCATAAATATGCTTTATATTATATATACATTTCAAATGTGTTACGTTCCACAAAGGAGGACAGTGGACTATGATGGCATTTATAGGGGACACCTAACTCAGTTTGAGGATCAAGATAAGACTTCCCTGAAGAATGAGATCTAATAATGAACAGAAGTTAACCGGGATGGGAAGAGGTCATGCAAAGGTCCTGTGGTCAGAACCCTTGGGCAAATGACAGAATGGCAAGGAGGCCACGATGGCTTAAGAAAAGTAATGAGGCAGAATGCAGTGGCATGAGTATAGAGGTAGGAGCAAAAGCCAGCCCATGGTGGGCAGGGGTGTAACTAAGTGGTACAGTGTTTGATTAGCATACACAAGGCCCAGGGCTCCATCCCCAGCACTGGGGGGGAAGTGGGGGGGTGTCACACTCTAAAGGCTGTGGTGAGGAGCTTGAACACTAGGGAGTCAAGAAAGATTTTTGAGCAAGGGACAAAGTTAGCTTTGTGCTTTAGAGAGATTTTCCTGAGGGGGTGCACACCTGTGATCCAGGCAACACAGGAAACGGAGGCAGGAGGCCTCAGCAACTTAGTGAAAGCCTGTCTCAAAAATAAAAAGGACTGAGGATATAGCTCAGCAATAAAGCACCCCTCAGTTCAAGCCCACTGCCAAACAAAAAAACAAAACAAACAAATAAACAAAAACACCTCTCTGGCCCTCTAAAGTTGGTGGAAGAGAGAGAACCAGAAGCTAGGAGAACAAGAGGAGGCCGCACAGTGACACAGAGTGTCTATGTGAAGTCATCTAACAGAATTGAACCTGGTAAACAAGCCCATTTCAAGCTGGGGACCCAAGGACAAGCAGGAGTTAAACAGTGAGGGGAGGAATTACAGGCCAAGGCCCTGTGGTGGCAGAAGTGGAAAAAGGCCAATGGCACTGTCCAAGAAGAAGCAGAGAGGCCAGTAGAGGCCAGACCACAAGGGCTTTGTAGGTCAAGACATGGAGTTTGTTTTTTTTCTCCAAAAGCAACTAAAGCATCAAACAGGAGGGGGAAGTGGTCAGATGTCACTTAGTGAATACTGATGGCAGGGCTACTCTGTACCAAACCAAACCTCAAGAGTGGTGAGCACTCTAGAGTCCCAGGAACACAGCAATACACAACACAGATGACGTTGCAGAGGCAGTCTTGTGTCTGTACTGCTCAGTGTTACAAAGTCCTCCCTTCTTCCTGCCAATGCCACATCTGCACTCAGAGGCTGCCCCAAATTGTGTGCTATCACACATACATCCTCAGGCCCTCCCTGTTGATCCTGCTCAAAAAACAATGAGGGGGGCTGGGGCTGAGTGGTAGAGCACATGTCTAGCATGTGTGAGGCACTGGGTTCGAGTCTCAGCATCACATATAATAAAATAAAGGTCCATGAACAACCAAATTGTACCTGGATGACCAGGGCTCCACCCACCAGAGAATCTCCCACCCCAGACAAAAGGTGGGACACTCACAATCTTTTCATAGTATTCCCGCCTCCGTTCTGCCCTCTTCTTGTAGTCAACCATCATGCCTCGAAGCTTCCGCTCATGCTTCCGAGCCTCGTGCCACATTGTGGTGAGGCCAAGCCTGAGGCCTCAACCTAGGGGACGAGGGGATGAGGAGTGTCAGATGGGCAGAACCAGTCAACTAACAAGTGGTGCCATGTCTCAGCTTAGGGGGAAGAGAAGTGAGGCCGGGATCTGCGGGCCTGATGCTCAAGTGTATCCTTGACAGCTCGGACCCAGGAGCTTGAGCATTCTGAAAGCGCCTTGGGTGACTGGTGAGAGCATCTCGGGGAAGGAGTGTCCTAGATTCCATGCGCAGAGTGGGGATGAAAGGTTGTGGAACGGAATGTCTGAGGCAGACCCCGAGCAGCTAGGGCTGATGCCCAGGGGAAGAGCTGAAGGGCTCTGACCTGAAAGGGCTCTGAGAGGGGCCACCCGTGGGGCTGGGTGCGGGGACGGGCTTGCAAGTGATATGGACGAAAACAGGTGGAGGAAGGGCGAAATTTCACCGGAACATTGGCGTGGCGGGCAGGCGGGGGTCGAGGACAGGTGAAGGGCGTGGATGGACGATGCTGCTGGAGGGAGGGGGGAACGTGGGGTCTGCTCAGAGAGAGTAGGGCTGAGGGGTAAAGAAGGGCTGTGTGGAGGGAGGGGAATCCAGGTAAAATGCCTGGGAGGTGGCTGCCGGGAGAGGGTGGGCCGCGTCGGGGTCAGTGTGTGTGGACAGGGGCGGAGCCCACAAGTGGCGACTGAGCTTGTGGCCCGGGTCAGGGCCGAGTCGGACGACGCGAATCGGGCCCCCGTCCGGCCAGCGGCGCGGCCTGACGTCCCGTCAGGACGAAGGGGTTGGGGGCAGAGGGCCGTCGGAGCACAGGCCCGGCGGGACCCCACAGCGCCACCAGGAGAGCCCGAGACCGGGGGACAGCTAGGCTGACGCCGCCCGAAAGCCAAGGTGGTCGGGGACCGACGCCTGCACTCACCGGCTGGTCGCCGCCTCCCACTCTTGCGCTCGCGCGCGGCCCGCACCGGAAACGGAAATGGGGAGCCGTGCAAAGGGTGGGGGTACGTCGTGAACGCACTTCCGCCGGCGCTGGGGCGGGCGCGCCCTGGGTGGGCGGGGCCTGGAGGCGGCAGAGGAGGTCGTGTGTCCCCCCCCCCCCCCCCCCCCCCCCCCCCCCCCCCCCCCCCCCCCCCCCCGGGCTCGGCTGCCCGACACGCTCTGTGTTTCCCAAGCGGAGACCAGGAACCCCCAAGAATCAACATTTTTATTGGGAAAATGCCCGCCCACTGTCAGGTCTGGGGAGGGGCCGCCGGTCTGCCTCCTTACTCCTGTAGAGTTTATTTTCGGGATATGTCCAGAGAAGGTACCCCCCACGGGTGGGCGTCTCACCCGGGCCGCGCCCCTTTCTCTCTCCCGACTCCGTTTTCTCTTTTGTAAAATAAGATCAAGGGGAGACCAGTGCTGCCGAGCTTCTCGCCACGCTGAGGATGTCCGATTAAGATACCGAGGTCGAAGGCTGACCAAGGGCCCAGGAGGATGGGGGCGTTGGACCGACCCTTGGCCGTGTTCGCAGGGTCCCTCCAGCTACTCCCCACCTAGTGCCTCTCCTCTGGCGCCGCGGGCTACGTGGCTTCAGGCCCCGGGGAAAGGAGGCCACTCCCGAAGGCTGCCTCGCGGTACTGATTGGGGAACATGTTGCTGCCCACGAGGCTAGCGGTGCCTCCGTCCCCCGGGCCGGCGGCTGAGTAGGAGTCCAGCGTCAGTGGCTCGGGGCCAGGGGGCTCCCCGACTGCGACCCCTGCACCCCCGCTGGCGGGGACAGAGCTGACAAGTGGCGGCGCTGGGGGCAGCAGGTCCAGCATGGTGAAGAACGTGGGGGTCGTGGGGTCATAGGCAAAGCTGTCATCCAGGAGGTCAGGCTCGCAGGGAGGCTCCAGGCCGGGCAGGGACACGGTACCGGGGAAGAATTCTGTGTCTGGCAGCAGGGCTGAGGGCGGGAGGTACGGGCCTAGAGGATGAGAAGAGAAATGCAGCGGACTTAGGGCCAACTTTTGGCAAAACACTAATGCAGACACAACACCTCATACTAAATGCATTGTTGAGGTAGAGGCTATCACCATTCTCATAATAAGCAAACTGAAACTGAGACAAAATAACTGGAAGTCACACAAAGCTGTCTAGTTGGGAAACCAGGACCAAACCCACACTCCTGCAGGGCTGTGAGCAGTTTTCACCAAGAATGTGGAAAGGGAGGAGCTGCTATGCCACCTTCAATGAAGCAAAATCTCCACACCAGTGAGATTCCTAAATTATCAGTCCCCAAGATGGAAAGTGAAATGATAAGTATTATTGGAGCCTGTCTTCCTCTTTTTTGGATAAGACAAACCTAATCAACAAAGGTTAATACACCTGTAATCCCCCCAGCTCTGAGGCTAAAGCTGGAGGATTTGGGAGTTCAAAGCCAGACTCAGCAACTTACCAAGGTGCTAAGCAACTCAGCGAGCCCCTATCTCTAAATAAAATACAAAAAAGGGCTGGGGATGTTGCTCAGTGGTTAAGCACCCCTGGGTTCAATCCCCAGTACCATAAGAAAGAAAAGAAACAAAAAAAAGAGACGAGACCCAGACCTAGTCATAGTCCCCACATCCCGTACAGCTTAATGTGGACACGGGACTAAGTAGAACCTGGGCAGAAGGTGGAAACTGCAAATTGAAAATGGCAAGAGCTTGGGTTTCTGATGACCTTGTAGCCACCAGATCATACCTAGAGAGCTACCATTGTGCTCTTTATGTGAGAGGAGAAGTTCTATTTTTTTTAAATCTTTTCTTTAGTGGTTGATTGACCTTCATTTCATTCATTTATTTATACTCGGTGCTGAGACTCAAACCCAATGCCTCCCACATGCTAGGCAAGTGCTGTACCGCTGAGCCCCAGCCCCAAGTTCTATCCTGTTAAAGCTCCTTTTATTTTGGGTTTTGATATGAATGCAGTTAAATATGACCATAACAAATGCACGTGGCATTCCTGATTTCTAGCAAATTCCTAACATACTACTGTAATAAATAACTATGACATGATCTCACTAAATTCTGACAAGGACCTTAACAGTGAGAGGTAACAGACGCAAGTGATGGGAACACCAGCTTAAGGGAATAATTCTATAAATTGGGCCCACTGTGCTGACCCCCACATGCTTGCTGTTTTGGGGGCGGGGGTTCTGGGAGTTGAACTCAGACGCACTCAACCACTAAGCCCCATCCCCAGCCCTATTTTGTATTTTTTTAGAGTCACTGAGTTGCTTAGCACCTTGCCATTGCTGAGGCTGGTTTTGAACTCAGGATTCTCCTGTCTCAGCCTCCCCAGCCACTGAGATTACATGCTTGCACTATGGTGCCAGGTTCATGCTTGCTTTTAAAACACAATTTACCCGTGACCCTGTCTGGCTTAAGTTCATAGGATATGTTATATTCCTCAGAAACAACCTATAACCTGCACGGGAAATGCAGGCCTGAAATGCTGATAAGAACACAAGTTACCCTGGTGGGGGGGTAGATTTTTGTGACCTTTCTACAGAACGCAGGGAGATAAGAATAATTGCCCCTAACCATAAAGTCTATAAGAACAAGTTCCAATTAGAACTGGTCAGCAAGGGTCAAAGTGACTCAGAGTTGCCTTGGAACTTTACCATGTGCAATGGGGACTTAAAAGTCATCCTGCCGTCCATCAAAAATCAAGAGGTAGGGCTGGGGATACTGTTCAGTTGGTAAAGTGCTTGCCTCACATGCACAAGGCCATGGGTTCAATTCCCAGCACCACAATAAATAATTAAAATAGGTGGGCTGGGGTTGTGGCTCAGTGGTAGAGCACTTGCCTAGCACACCTGAGGTTGCAGGATTCAATCCTCAGCACCACAGAAAAAAATAAATGAAGTTAAAAAGTCACGGCTGGGGTTGTGGCTCACACTTGCCTGGTATGTGTGGGGCACTGGGTTCAATTCTTAGCACCACATATAAATAAATAAGGGTCTATCAACAACTTAAAAAACAAAACAAAAGCCAAGAGGTGGACCTGGGGGGGGTGGGAGGACTCTAAAAACTTCCTGGATCCCAATAAAACTGTCGGGCAGGATGGGTGTACCATCCACCTCCTCTCTGAGAGGACCTACCCTCTCCCTTGAGTGTGTCCCCTTCCCCTTCTCCTGTCCCTTCTTATAAACTCATGCCTGCTTCTGGGTGATATTTCTGAAATCTTTCTGGCACAATCATGAGAACCGGGGACAGAGGCTGCCTTAGCTTTGTGACACGCTCTAGCCCTATAGCATGAGGAAGAATCGCCATCTGACAGACAAACAAACTGAGGCATAGATGTCACAAAGCTGCAAAACTGAGGACCCAATTCAAACCCAGAGTAAATCCTCTCGCTGTGCTCCTAACCATTACCCTAGTGCCACGGTGGCTTTGCCTCAGGAATGAGGGATAGAAACGGATCAGATAGATGAATGGCAGAGAGCTCTGGGGACCAGAGAGGTTGGCGGAGTGCGCTAGGATTGGTGGTTGCTAGGGCTGGAGCTGTTGGGCCTTGGTTACAAGCTGAGAGAGGGTGGGGACAACCTGTAGTACTGCTGACTTCCAGGGTGGGACTGGCTGGAATGGCTCGGGCTCAGCAGCCTCCGAGTGCTTGGTGGCTGGCTCAGCCTGGACTGGCTGGGTGTTTGGCAGGAAGCTTTTTTAGAGCTGGGGGTCAGTGGGTCAGGGGTGGGAAGGCTTCTTTGGATGGCAGCCAGTTAGGATTGGAGTGGTGAGACCTGGAGCTGGCGTGTGACCTGAGATGAAGGCAGTAGTAGCACAGCCCAGAGGGTGGCCAGGATGGAGAAGGGCCTGAACTTGAGATTGGCTGGCTGCATCCACCACAGCTGATGTACCATCCAATACATGGGGCACCCACATCATCCCTCCATACAGATGCCCAGTCTTCCAACTCCCTGATCCACTGCAGATCTGACACATGGTGACCTCAGGTAAGAGACTTCACCTCTCTAGGCCTCAGTTTTTTCACCTATAAAATGGGTGGAATGACAGAACCTCCTTCACAGGATGACTGTGCAGACTAAATGAGTAGCCCATACCGAGCACTGAGGGCTCTCTTACAGTGTCCGTAAAAAGATAAACACTTTAAATTTTTTTTTTTTTATGCCAGGTGTGATAGTGCATGCCTGTAATCTCAGCTACTGGGGAGGCTGAGAAGGGAGGACCATGAATTCAGCCTGGGCAATTTAGTGAGATTCTGTTTCAAAAATTTTGTTGTTGTTCAGCCCAGAGCACCGGGTTTTCTGGGCAGTCTTCTATCCAGCTACTGTGAGACTCAACAGAGCAGCACATTCAGGGTGGCCATCCTCCACATTAAATTTGAAAAGCTCAGCGAGGTGAGGACATAGTGAGACTTTACAGAGGAGCCCCTGAGACAGAAAGGGGGAGAAACTTGCCATAGGTCACACAGCAAATCATCTGCCCAGCAGGGATGGGATGGCGGCCTCCTTTTTTTTTTGGGGGGGGGGGGTACTGGGGATTAGACTCAGGGGCACTTGGCCACTGAGCCACATCCCCAGCCCTGTTTTCTATTTTATTTAGAGACTGGGTCTCACTGAGTTGCTTAACGCCTCACCATTGCTGAGGCTGGCTTTGAGCTCGTGATCCTCCCGCCCCAGCCTCCTAGGGATCATAGACTTGCACCACCGCCTGGCGTGGCTGCCTCCACTCTGTCTCCAGAACCTATTCCTCTCCTTTGCTGTGGCCGGCTCTGTGGTGAGCGCTGGCCAGGGGAGCTGCTGGAGGAGCAGGGCTGCCGTGCTTCCTCAGCCCATCCCAGGGCCAGAGGCTCGCAGGAAGCCGGGACCCACCTGGGCCGTGGCTGGGCAGGAAGTGGTCCAGGAAGACTGGCTTCTTCTTCCGTCGTTTGCTTTCGATGCCATGGGGGTCTAAAGGAAGGGGAAACAGAGAAAAGGACCCCTCAACTGTGGGTCAGGGAAGGACAGTGGGATCAGCCATCCCCTCCAAAGGTCCTGGGGATGGGCGTGGAAGGGGGCACAGGGAACACACCAGAGCTGTTCAGCTCCCCGAGGACATCGGGCAGCCCCCGTTTCCGCTTCTTGTCCACACCGTAGCTGTCTGTTAGAGACGGGAGGGGGGGGGGGGCAAAGAACAATCCATCAGCAACAGTAGCAAAGCAATAATTAATCTTAGACCATTTAGGAAGAGTTTCAGCTGGTTCTTGACCAACCAATGCAAACAAATATCCACACCCCAATCAGAATAAAATCTAAATTCACTTCCGGCACACCCACCTCTTTGTTGTTCCCAAACATGCCAAACACAGTCTGGCCCAGGGCCTTTGCACTTGCTGTTTCCACTGCTTAACATGCTCTCCTCAACTCCCACCCATTAGTCTTCCTGTGTCCTCGGCGCAGCTGCTCCCCCTGACCCCTGAGGCTGAGCAGGTGCCCGAGTCCCCAAGCCACCCCATTCTAGTCAAGTCACTCTGACCATCACTGTGGGGAAGAGCTGTTCCCCCATCAAAGGACTGTAAGCCTCATGAGGGAAGTGCCAGGGGCTCTCTTGGTCACTGCTGTGTCCCCAGCACAAGCCAGCATAGGGCCACACTGAGCAGAGAGGCTGAGGGAATGCGTGAGAAAACCCTAACGCCCCGTGACAGGTACCGTGTCTGTTTTGCACTGGGAAGGGCTACAGCCCTGCGAGGCCACGGTCACAGAGCCAGGAGGCAGCAGCGCCCCCAGCTAGGCAGCCCCCCCCCATTTCTGCCTCCTCCTGGTCTGCTTCATCCCTGGCCAGGCTGAGCTGGCCGGTGGGTCACCCGGGCGAGCCGTGGTTACCGTGGTCCCGAGGAAGGTAGGTGAAGGGCAGCGGCTCGCTGCAGACCCCGTCCGTGAGCCGCTGCAGGAAGACGTTGACAGTCACGGGCTCCACGATCTCCAGGTCCTCATAAGGCGGCGTCTTGAACACGATGGCAATCTGGCGGTGCACGTCGGCCTGGGAGAAGTCGGCCCGGCCTTCCCAGGAGGCTGTGCTGAACACCACCGAGATGTCCTCTGGAGGGAGAAGGAGATGCCAGTGGGGACAGGTGCCCTCTGAGCTGAACCGGCTCAGCCTCCCTCAAAATCAGCCCTCATATTCCCAACGTGAAGCTATCACCTGGCAGGTAGCTTTCACCTGAGCACGTCCCGTGGGCCAGTCACTAAGTAGTTCATATATTTTCATATGCAGATGCTCCTTGGCTTACGATGGCATTACATCCCAGCAAACCCACCAGAGCTGAAAATATCTGGGGTCAAAAATGCCCCAGGCCAGGCAGGGAGGCTTAGACCTGTAATCCCAGCCACTCTGGAGGATCAAAAGTTCAAGACCAGGCAGGGGAACTTAGCAAGACCCTCTCTCAAAACAAAACAAAAAAGAGCTGGGGATGTAGCTCAGTGGTAAAGTCCCCCTGGGTTCAATTGCCAGCACCAAAAATTACATAAATAAAAAGAAAAGTCATTGACTGTAGTTAAACTGTGAAGCACGGTAGCTTAGCATCGGTACACTTGGCCTGTTGGTATTTTCCCCTTGTGACCGTGGGGCTGAGCAGGAGCTGCAGCTGATTTTCTGGGTAGAGGTACCAGAGACTCAACTCAGGGGCACTCAACCACTGAGCCACATGCCCAGCCGTATTTGGTATTTTATTTAGAGTCAGGGTCTCACAGAGGCTGGCTTTGAACTCGAGATCCTCCTGCCTCAGCTTCCCGAGCTGCTGGGATCTTGGGCGGGCGCCACCGCTCCCAGCTTACTTAACGTATATTAATCTCACACCATCATTCTAGAGTCAAAAATCCTAAATTGAGCATCCTAAGTTATCTCATCTGATCCCTAGGGCAACACAAGAAGCAGGGAAAATCACTGTCCCCACAATGTCAGAGGGCCCCACGACCATGTTCAGATTGAGCCATGGACTCTGAGGACCTGCAGAGTTCAATGGGCGGCCATGTCCATGGCTGTGATCTGTTATAGTGACAGGGTACAGTGACAGGGTGCTGGTGCCTGCAGCGCAGTCCAGGGGGAACCAGGCACAAGGTGCCAAGAGTCCTTCCCCTGAGCAGTCACAGGGACCACACGGGAGCCCCCCAGCAACAAACTAAAGCAACACATCCACTGAGGAAGCTCAGCCCCCATGTCTGCCTGGCGTGACAGGCCACTCCTGGCCACTAGGGAAGGTGGGAACCTTCCCAAACCCATGTTCCCAGAACCTCTGGGAGCAGAGCTAGTTATTTAAGTTATTTTGTTTCTTTGTTTATTATTTTTGTGGTACTGAGGATGGTACCCAGGGGTGCTCTACCACCAAGCAACACCCCCATCCACCCCTTTTTATTTTTTACTTTATTTTTTTGGTACTGGGGATTGAATCCAGGGGCGACTTACAGAGTTACATTCCCACCCTTTTTACTTTTTTCTTTTAACTTTATTTCTCTATCTATTTATTTATTTAATGTGGTGCCGAGGGTCGAGCCCAGGGCCTCACTTGTGGTGGGCAAGCGCTCTGCCCGTGAGCCACAACCCCAGCCCTACTTGTTTCATTTTCAGGCAGAGTTTCACTAAGTCGCTGAGGCCCTCACTAAATTGCTGAGGCTGGAATTGAACTTGAGGTGCTCCTGCCTTAGCCTCCCGAGTCACTGGACTACAGATGTGCATCACTGCACCCAGCTCTAAGAAGGGCTTTTGAAGGACAGAGGTCTCAGATCTGCTATGTGCACTCTTTTCTGCACACACTCGTCAGAGACGGTAAAACCAAGGCTTGGGGGCACTGAGGCGTCCCACAGCTGCTCGGGGGAAGTCGGGCTCACCGAGACGCCTGCCTGTTTCTTTTTCGTATCTCACTGAATCGCCTCTGGACACACCAGCAGCCAGTGCTGAGGTTCTAGGTGACAGATACATACAGGTTGCTCTGTGTCACACAAAAACCCTATGAAGAAGGTGCCATTAAGTACCCTGTTATATAGAGAAGGAGACAAAGATACAGAGCGGTGAAGTCATCTGTCCAATGTCACAGGATCAGCGAGCAGTGGAGCCTCAACGGGGACCCAGGAGGCCACAGCTCTTCCCACCAGCTCTGCCAGGGCCCGAGGAAGGCAGTGGCTTTGCTGAGAGCAGTCTCCTCGCTGTGACAGGAAAGTCAGACGACCTCAGGGGTTGCTGAGAGGACCACGTGAGTCGACCCAGGACGCCAAGAGCATGACTGTTGTCACGACCAGTGCTATGATCATCACCATCGCCTCAAACACGACTCTGGAAAGTGACTTTTCTCCAGATGTTTTTTCAAATCTGCTTCCTTCCCTCATTTGAAAAAAAAAAAGTACTAAATATTATTTTTACCAACTTCCTGTGATTTTTCTCCAACTCTATATTTTATTTTTCCTCCTAGAAGAAACGCTGATGGTAGAAGGCTTGTTCTTTTCAGAGTCTTCTTTTCTAAATTCAAATCCTGTCTCCACCTGACCAGCTGTGTCACCTCAAGCAAGTTACTTAACCTTTCCATGCCTCAGTTTCCTCATCTATTAAATGGGGAATAATAACAAGGTCTGCCTCATAGGTTCTGGATCTTTCCAGGCTGCCACCCTGGTGAGGTGACTGGATGACTTAATAAACCATGCCCACCAAGTGCACGCAGCCAAGCTTGGCATGCAGTTAGAACACGGCAATGTTGTGTGCCAAGGATGTAGCTGGTGGCTGAGTGCACCCTGAGGGTGCAGGTGGGGTCAGGGGTTCCATCCCCAGCACCACAAAAAACAGAGAGAGAGACAGATGTCATTACTGTTGGTGGTGACGCTATTTATGATGTAGTCACATGATGGAAAATGTAAAAGAATCCCAGCACGGGGGCTGGAACCCCAGCTACTCAGGGGGCTGAGGCAGGAGGATGGTATGGTCAAGGCCAGCCTCAGCGGTAGAGCGCTTGCCTAGCATGTGTGAGTTCAACCCTCAGTACTGGAAAGAGAGACGGTGGGGGTGAGGGGAGAGAGCGACAGAGAGAGAGAGAGAGAGAGAGAGAGAGAGAGAGAGAGAGAAATGGCAGAAGATATAGAAAAAATGAATCCAGCACAAGGGCAGACAGCCTTTGGCCCTCTCCTCAGGTGGGTGCTTCTGGGTGAAAGTAGGGTTTTTTTGGTTTTTTTACTTGTTAGGTTTTTTGGGTTTTGTTTTGAAGCCTATTTGAGCAAGGAACATTTGAATAGATGCAAATGCAAGAAACTTCTTTTGTCCGGTTTGCTTTCTTAGCATCCTTTACCACAACTGCCATAAGGGTCCCCGGGTCTTGCCTGTGCTGGGCCAGCGCCTCCCACTTGCCCCTCCTAAAGCACGTAGGCAATTTCCCCACCAAGATCAGAGTCTCCTGGATGGGGAGCCGAGTGACGGCCACGCTGCCAGACACCCAGCCTGGGCCACTCACAGGCCACCACCTTCGCTCAGGGACAGGTGCCAGGATAAACCCATTGCCTGTGCCATCTGACCCCAAAGCCAGGGTTCTGGATCTTTCCAGGCTGCCATCCTGGTTAACCACACCCCCAGCCCCCTCCCCCGGGCTCACAGCCAGGCCCTCACCTTTCTGCACCTTGTCACACAACAGGTAGAGCTCCTCGCCCCCCGTGCACGGCCCGCTCTCCTTGTTGATGCGGCAGATCCGCAGCTCGGATGTGTTCGTGGATTCTGGGGAGGAGGGAGAGGAAGAGGCCAATGAGGGAAAACAAGAATCCAGGCACCTTTCCACCTGGTGTCAGTGGGAAGGCAGGAGATGAAGGAGGCAGGGCGCCTGTCCAGGTGGAGGAAGAGGCCACTGGTCGGCCAGCGGCCTGAAGTCCTGCAGTGCCGCTGCTCTGCCTGCCCAGCAGTCCCAGCCCTTCTTCTGTGAAGAGTCCTCTTGGGGACACCACTTTCCCTCAAGACACACCTCCCTCTGCCCCTGGCCATTTCAGTCAAGGAGATTGGGTAGGACTGAGTCCCTTCACCAGCTCAGCAGTGATCACATGCCCCAGATCGGGCCAATCAGATCATCACCTCCCCTCCCCACAGCTGATTGTCAAGGAGGAGCAAATGACCAAACGCAGGCCAATGAGAGACAGCCCTGAGATTTTTTAGCAAAAATACTAGGAAAGAACCAGGCAGAAGGATGGCAAGTTTGAGGCCAGCCTGGGCAACACAGTAAGATTTTGTGGCAAAATAAAATAAATAAAAAAGGGCTGGGAATGTAGCTCCATGGTAGAACATCTCTGGGTTCAATTCTCAATATTGAAAAGAAATTTGGGTGAGAGACGCTAAAAGCTCTCACTGGAGTGCAGGAGAGGTATCAGCACACAGCCCTGGAAGACCCTGGCAGGATGGACTCTAACACAACTGGGGGACAGACCAGATGGACCCCCCAGTGACACCGTGAGGTCTGAATGCAACCAGACCTGAAGCACTGTGCTAGTCCTGTACTGCGTGTTTTGTTTGTTTGTTTGTTTGTTTTGTTTGTTTGTTTTTGGTACTGGGGATTGAACCCAGGGAAGCTTAACCACTGAGCTATATCCCCAACCCTTCACTGTTTTTTATTTTGAGACAGGACTCAGTAAGTCGCTGACCATCTTACTAAGTTGTTAGGGCTGGCCTCAAACTTGCAATCCTCCTGCCCCAGCCTCCCAAGTTGCTGGAATTGCAGGCATGTACCACTGTGCTTGGCTTGTCCTTCCTCATTTAGATGCTGTGGCAGTCCCTGTAGGTTGGCTAAGGCTGAACAGCTATTCCCAAGCCCCTCTTCCAGTCTGTACCCCTCTATTCAGGTTGAAAAGCCTGTATACTTACATACCCAGATTCCCTTGCAACTCGGTATGGCCATGGGACCAAGTTCTAACCAATAAGACATGAGCAGAAGACTACCAAGGAGATTCTGGAGAATATAAACTTTTTATCTACTAAAGAAAGAGGTATGGGGCTGGAGCTGGGGCTCAGTGCAGAGCGCTTGCCTAGCATGCATGAGGCACTGGGTTCGATCCTCAGCACCACATAAAGATAAAATAAAGATACTGTGTCCACCTAAATCTAAAAAATAAATTTAAAAAAGAGAAAGAGGTATTATTCTTTGTGATGCCTCTTCCCTAGGGCTCTATGGGGTCACTGTTGTGCATTTTCAAAATCAGGAAGTGCCATTTTCATAAGCTACACAGTAAATGCTGATCCCCCAAAATAGGCAGGGTGCGATCTGTACAACCACACAGGGTGATGCTGCCTATATCATGTCTTGAACACAAATATGATGTCTGGAGCTGTGGCAGTCATCTTGTGACCATGAAGGAAAAGCTGAGAGTCACAGAGCTGTGGAAACTTCATGATGTCAAGCAGCTAAACCAATGTGCACCAACTTAGTCAGTGAAACAAATAAATAATAATTTCCTGTCTGTTCATGCCACACTAAGGAGGGCTTTCTGATCCCTGCTGCCAAGGACAATCCTAACTGCCACAGCACCCTGCACTCACTCTTGTCATAAACCGGCTCGGAGAGCACAGGGTCCATCCGCCGCGTCTGTCCCTGCTGGTCCCGGTAGGAGGCCTGGAAGCAGATCCTCACCACGTTCATGTCCACCTCCTGGTGGTTCTTCAGGGAGCCGGCTGCGGTGGGGACACAGGAAGGCTGAAGATGGGTGGGGCAGGGGCGGAGCCTAGAGGGGCGTGGCGGCGACATGGGCGGGGCCTAGAGGGGCGTGGTGGGAGGGGAGGGGCCTATACGAGGGGCGGGGCCTGGGGGAGGGGCGGGGCGGGCGGGGCAGGGGTGAGGCCCCGGGACTCACCATTGTAGGGGTCGATGCCCTGCTGGATCTTGCGCTCGATGGCCGCCTCGATCTCCTTCTTCCTCACGCACTGAATGCCCAGGTTGTTAAAGCTGGGGGAGGAGTGCTCGTGAGGGGGGCTGCGGGCCTCAACGCTGCTGCCGGGCTCCCCCTGGACCCCGCATCAGGAGGGGCCTGGGGTTCTTGGGAAGACCCAGGAACCCGCCTTATCTGTACCACGTGAACACACTGGCCAAGCTCCTTCATCCTACAGCACACGGGGAAGGTCATCTTCCAGGTGAGGTTGGGAGGGGTCGGACGCCCCCCTCCCCGCTGGCCACACTGTGAGCTGCAGGACTTGGCAGTAATTGATTGCCCAAGTGCTTCCTGAGCATCTCTACATGCCAGGCACTGTGCTGGGCTCTGGGAATAGAGCAGGGAGCAGAAAAGAGAAAATCCCTGCTCTCAGTGAGCTTATGTTTTTACTAAATTGATAAATCATTGAAATTATAAATCAAGGCGGGCGCAGTGGTCACACCTGAAATCCCAGCAATTCAGGAGACTGAAGGAGGAGGATCCTGAATTCAAAGCCAGCCTCAGCAACCTAGCAAGGCCCTAAGCAACTCAAGGAGATCCTGTCTCAAAATAAATAAAAAGGGCTGGGAATGTAGTTTAGTGGTTGAGCGCCTTGGGTTCAATCCCTAGTACCCCCAAAATTATAAATCAGCTTAGAGTCAGCAACTTCAGTTTTAGAAACTAACCCTAAAGAATGAAATACCTTTTTTTTTTTTTTTAGTACCAGGGTTTGAACCCAAGGACACTTGACCACCGAGCCACATTTCCAGCCCTTTATTATTTTATTTAGAGACAGGGTCTCACTAAGTTGCTTCAGGGCTTGACTATGTTGCTGAGGCTGGCTTTGAACTCACAATCCTCCTGCCTTAGCGTTCTGAGCCACTAGGATTACAGGCGTGTGCAATTACACCTATCTAGAATGACATATCTTTAGGGTATTTCTCAGCACTATTAGCCACAGAGCAACAAGACTCTGGAACCATCAGAGGTGCCCATTAATAGAGAGCAGTTTCAGTTAATTGTGTGCATCTATGAAGTAGAATACCATATAGCCAAGACAAAGGATAGGGCGGCTCTGAATATATTGATAGGGAATGAGGTCTAAGATGTATTGTTACAAAAAAACAAGATGTAGGGGCCAAGGTTGTCGCTCAGTAATACAGCACTTGCTTACTTGCTTAGCATGCACAAGGCCCTGGGTTCCATGCCTAGCAGCAGAAACAAAAAACAAGTTGTGAATGTCTGTTAAAAAAGATGCGTGCTGGGGCTGGGGCTGAGCAGTGGAGTGCTCGCCCAGCATGCATGAGGCCCTGGGTTCAATCCTCAGCACCACATTAAAAATAAGTAAATAAACAAATAAAATAAAGATATTGTGTCCAGGGGCTGGGGATGTGGCTTAAGCGGTAGGGCGCTCGCCTGGCATGCGTGCGGCCTGGGTTCGATCCTCAGCACCACATACCAACAAAGATGTTGTGTCTGCCGAGAACTAAAAAATAAATGTTAAAAATTCTCTCTCTCTGTCTCTCCTCTCTCACTCTCTCTTTAAAAAAAAAAAAAAAAGATACTGTGTCCAACTACAACTAAAAAATAAAATTTTTTAAAAAAAAAAGATATGTGCTGGGGCTGGGATTGTGGCTCAGAGGTAGAGCACTTGCCTAGCACGCACAAGGCCCTGGGTTCGATCCTCAGCACCACATAAAAATAAATAAATAAAACAAAGGTATTGTGTCCAACTACAACTAAAAAATATATTTAAAAAAAGAGATATGTGGGCTGGGGTTGTGGCTCAGCGTAGAGTGCTCGCCTCGCACGTGCGAGACCCTGGGTTCGATCCTCAGCACCACATAAAAATAAATAAGTGAAATAAAGGTGTTGTGTCCAACTACAACTGAAAAATAAATATTTAAAAAAGATATGTGCTTGCATATATGTGGCATATCTTCAGTTGTTTCTAGAAAAACATAGCTAGAAGGTCAAAGATTTTCTTTCTGAGAAAAGAATCATTTTTCAGTGCTGGGGATGAACCCAGGGCCTTGGGAATGCTGGGCCAGCGTCTGTCCCTCAGCCTCATCTCCAGCCCTTTTTATTTATTTACTCTTTTATCTGGAGGCAGGTCTCCTGAGTTGCCCAGCCTGGCCTCAAACTTGCAACGCTGCAGCCTCAGACTCCTGAGCGGCTGTGATCAAGGGTGCCGTCTTTTTTACATCTTTCATTTGATAAAAATATTTAGATTGTAGAGTGAGAGAAGGACTAAGCCTTGAGAGAAGCCGGCTCTGGAGTCCAGCCCCAGCCCTGCCATCCACTACCCGCTCCATCACCTCCCTGAGCCTCAGTTTCTCCCTCTACAAAACGGGGTGCACAGCACCGGAGGGCACGGGGTATGGCAGGGTCGCAGGCTGAAGCGAGGACGTGGCTGCCCCAGACCTCAGTTTCCCCAGGGGGAAATGCAGCAGGGAGGGTGTGGCCAGGCTGCCCTGCCCTAGTTTCCCGGGGCGACCTTCGGCCCCTCAGAATCTCTATGACCGAGGGTCAGGGGTCAGAGATCAGGTACCTGTGCCGGGGGCTGACGTGAGGCCGCAGTCGCACCCTGCAGACGCCGTCTGTACAGTCCTTCCCCACGAGGCTGTGCGGGTGCACCCGATGGGGCCAGTCCTTCCACACCAGGCACGCGGTCACCTCCACCTCCCGCAGCCCGCCACAATCCCGGAGCTGCAGGGAGACAGGTGCGCTTTGGCCGGCTCATCACAGACGAGCCATGCTCCCTGGGGCTGCCCTTGGTGGATCCCCACCTCCCCAACCCCCCACCAGGGCCATGGAAGGGTGTTTGCTTAAGACCCCTCTCCTTCTCAGTAGCTTGGGAGGCCCAGGCAGGAGGATTGTGAGTTCAAAACCAGCCTCGGCAAAATCAAGGCACTAAGCCACTCAGTGAGACCTGTCTCTAAATAAAACACAAAATAGGTCTGGGGATGTGGCTCAGTGGCTGAGTGCCCCTGGGTTCCCGTACCCCCACCCCACAAAAAAAAGAAAAGCGAAGACTCTTTTCCTATCCAAAGCCGGAAACTTCCAACCTGTGACCTGGGAGGCCTGTAATGGGCTATCTACCCCACATGACTTCTTTGTCACACAAACCTTGAAAAAAATCTGATGTACACAAAACCTATCACACACAGGTAATCACAAGCAAAGAAAGACACCTGTACAGCAGAGAGATACAGTGGCCACCACTTGAGGCAACTCAGCATCCCTGACATTGGTAACAAGGACTCAGGACAGGCTGAGTGTCTCTCATCTAAAATGCTTGGGACCAGTCAGGCACAATGGTGCAGGCCTGTAATCCCAGCGACTCAGGAGGCTGAGGCAGGAGGATTGCAAAGCCAGCCTCTGCAATTTAACAAGGCCTTAAGCAACCCAGTGAGACCCTGTCTCTAAACAAAATACAAAAAAGGGCTGGGGTGTGGCTCAGTGATTAAGCACCCCTAGGTTTAATCTCCAGGATCAAAATATAAATATATATATATATATATTTTTTTAAGTGGATGGGGAGCCTGGAGAGGTAGACCAGCGGCAGAGCGCTTGCCTAGCTTGTGTGAAGCCCTGGCTTCCTTCCCCAGCACTGGGGAAAAAAGTATTGCCATAATTACAGCTAGAATTCTCACCAGCCACCACAGGCAACACAGATAGAAACCAGACTCTTCAGACCGTGCCTGACTCAGCCAGTCACTTAGCTCCTCTGGTCACCAACTGGGCCCTGCTGACATCTGAGTCCTTCTGAAGCCCACTCTGCACTCCTAAAGCCCAGCTATAAAATGCAATAAACCAGCCAGGCACAGAGGCCACACCTGGAACCCTATCGGGCTGAGGCAGGAGGATCACGAATTCAGCAACTCAAAAAAGGCTGGGGACGAAGCTGAAGGGTAAAGTGCTCCTGGGTTCAATCCCCAACACCCAATAGGGAAATGCAATTAACTAAGGTGTCTCCGTGGGGGCCTGCTGCCCTCTAGTGGCTGAAGGGGATATTGAGAGGGACTTTGGTTGACATTGTGGGGGGGCAGGGACCACAGCAGGTAGAAGATGGAGCAGACCAGCAGCGCTGGTCTGTAATACCAAGGACAGTCCAACACACCTACCCCATGTCCTCCAGGACATCTGAACATGTTTCCAGAATTCACAGCAGTAACAAACCTGTCTAAAATGACCGGAGCCCAGAACCTAGCCCTGCTTCTCATCAACAGTATTTCCCCATAATTTCAACATACACTGAATCTTCAAGGGCTGCAACCACCATGTGAACTGAAAGACGACTAGCTTTTGTTTAGACCAAGAGTTGTTTGATACTGTGAAGAATTCCCTCAACCAGTGCTGCCTGCATGTGGCATTAAAGTCAACAGGTCTGCCAGGCTGGGTCAGGCTGCTCCTCGTGGACCCTGTACCCAGGAGTCCACACAGAGGCCCAAGCAACGTTAACATCCATGTATCCCATGAGGCTGTGCTTGAACATTTACATATTAAAATAAATGTGTTCTTATTCATTAATGTGCTGGATTAATGTCCTCCTGTCACTCCTTCATGTTACAACACGGCAATATGAATTTGGGGGGTGACTATAGGGAAGGTAGGTATTAGTGTCTGTAAATCTCACTGAGTCTAATAGGGTTAAACTATTAATTTAAGTAGCTGCTTGCCTACTAAGTAGGAAGCCCTGGGTTCCATCCACAGCACTTACACACACACACACATACATACATACATACATGTCACTTTAGCCAGCTCCCTCCTGTAATATTAGGAAATGATGAAAAATCTCAGAACCAATAGGCTCAGGATCTATGAAGACTCCAGGACTGAGCTTTTCACCTCTGTAGACGTTGCACAGGATCGTGGGTGAGACTTTAGACAGGAGCAAATTACAGCTGACACCAAATCTAGGCTCTGCCCTGAGCCAACTAAGAAACTTCTCTGACCTTAATATCCTTAGCTATAAAATACATATCAAGAAACATGCAACCAGGGAGGCTAAGGCAGGAGGGCCAGGCACAGTAGCTGATAGCTCACACCTGTCAGAAGGATTGTGGGCCAAAGCCAGTCTCAGCAACGTAAGTGACATCTTAGGCACATAGTGAGACCCTGTCTCGAAAGAAAAAAGTAAAAAAGGGCTGGGGATGTGGCTCAGGGGTTAAGTACCCTTGGGCTCAATTCCTACTATCAAAAACAAATGAACAAATAAAATTTAAAACGGGGGGCTGGGATATATTTCAGTGGTACAGCATCCTTGGATTCAATCAGCAGTACCTTAAAAAAAAAAAAAAAAAGAAACACGCAAAGTACCTGGCCTAGTCAATGGTGGTTATCAGTCAAATGAATGTGCTGTGTGGCCCTGAATAAGTAACAACCTCTCTGAGCCTCAGTTTTCTCATAAAGATGGGGATAAAAATTCTGATTTCAGATTTGGAGAGAGGTTGCCCTATTATTGGGCATTTTGGATCCTAACTAGTTGAAATGAAAACAAACACAGAGCCAAAATAATGGCATGGAAAGACCACAATTTAAAAATATTAGGAAAAAGATAGTCTTAAAATATGGGGATAACTCTAAAAGCACAATGGCAAAACCATCCCTTACCATGCAGAGACCTGGGGGGTCACCACTTTAAGCATACGATCTAACTTAACATCATCAACAATGGGTCAAAGCAACATCCGAGGTCTGTTAATGCAAGACATTAAGAAGGCCACAACAATGTTACTGTCATGTTTTTCCCTAAATGCATAACCTGATCAAATCTGCGAACAGCCAACAAACCCAGGATGTAGGGCATTCTGCAAAGCATCTGTCTCAACACAGAAATTCTGGAGGTTAAGATAGAAGGATCACAAGTCCAAAGCCAGCCTCAGCAACTTAGTGAGGCTCTAAGCAACTCAGTGAGGCCCTGTCTCCAAATAAAATACAAAATAAGGCTGGGCTGTGGCTCAGTGGCCAAGTGCTCCTGGGTTCAATCCCTGGTACCAAAAAAAAAAAAAGAAAAAGAAAAGAATAAAGAAAAAAATATGTTCTTGCTTTCAAGAGACACACGACAGAACACTTTGGATGCAGTATCCTATCTCACAGTTCAAATCTCCCTCTGTAAACAAGAGACAGAAAGATGCGCTAGGGGTACTAGCAGTGGACAAGGCCCTGGGTTCTACCCCAGCACCAACTAAGAAAGACAGAGACATAAAGCAAATGCGGCAAAGCATATGGGTATCCACCGCACTATTCTTGCATATATTATGTAATTTCAAAATCTGTCAAGAGGGCTGGGGTGCAGCTCCATGGTAGAACACTTGTCTAACATGATTGAGGCCCTGCTTTCCATCCCACTACTGCAAAATAAGTAAATAACTTACCAAGAGAAAAGAAAAAGCTAGCCAGGCGCGGTGGCGCATGCCTGTAATCCCAGTGTCTTGGGAGGCTGAGACAGGAAGATAAGTGAGACCCTGTCTCTAAATAAAAAACAAAATAGGGCTGGGGATGTGGCTCAGTGGTTGAGTGTCCCTGAGTTTAATCCTCAGTAACCCACCCCACTCCAACTCCCAAGAAACGGAGAGAGAAAAAAGAAAAAGGTAAAAGTTGGAACATAAAGTTGAAAAATGAAATCTCTGAAATTGGAAAAACAGATTAATGGTTAAAAACGTACAAGGGATAAGGCCGGGATGTGGCTCTGGTAGAGGCTCTCTTAGCTTGCATGAAGTCCTGGCTCAACCTCCAGCACTACACAGAACGTGTGTATAGGTGGACAGATGGACACAGAAGAACAGTGAAACTGCCCCCTCCATGCACAGTCTCCCTATTCCTAAAACCCCAGTGACTGGGAATACACAATTAAAGAAAATATATATATATTTTTTTAATTTCCCCGGGTACTGAGGGGGGAGCCCAGGGCTCGCACATGCTAGGTAAGCGCCCTGCCAGGAGCTCCACCCACAGCCATTTTGTTTTGTTTTGTTCTCATTCTGAGACAGGGTCGTGCTAAGTTGCCCAGGCTGGCCTTGAACCCAGACTTCTCCTGCTTTAGCATCCTGAGTCTCTGGAGTTACACGCATGCACAGTAGAACATCATTCTTTGATCAGAATTTCCCCTACACGCACTCCACACCCCAATTCGGACCACAATGCCTGTAACTGAGTCAACTAAAGATAACAGTGGCCAGCTGTAGAAAAGGAGCCTCACGCACCCTCACACAGCCTGCCACCTGTTCCCGGCAGCTGGCCCAGGCTCTCAGGATCCTAGAGGGGCAGAGATGCACCCCATTTTGCATATGAACTGAGACCAGGAGGAGCCCTGAACTGGCAGCGCCCCCACCTTCACAGGTAAGCAACAGAACCAGGATTTCTACCCTCAAACGCCAACTTTTCCCACAATTGTTGGCCTCCTCCAGGGTGGCGAGGACAGAGAGGACAGACAGCTGCTCTGCTCATCACCCAAATAAAGATAAGTGCAAAGATCACTGTTTTGGAGTTTTTTAGAGACAGGGTCTCGCTAAGTTGCGGAAGCTGGCTTCAAACTTTTGAACCTCCTGCTTCAGCCTCCTGAGTCGCTGGGACTGCAGGCCTGCACCACATGTGCTACTCTAAGATATATTATTAAATAAGAACAGCAGAGCACGGGCTGGGAGCTTCGGTAGCTCAGTGGTAGAGCACGTGCTGGGCATGCCCCAGACCCTGGGTTGGCTTCCCCACGCTAAACACGCACAGCAAAGCGTGCGAGCTGCCATGGTGGCGCATACCTGTAATCCCGGAACTCAGGAGGCTGGGCAGGAGATTCACAAGCATGAGGCCAGCATTGACAACTTAGCAACAACCTTGTCAATTCAGTGAGACCTCCTCTCAAAATAAAAAGGGCTGGGGTGTAGCTCAGTGGTAGAGCACCCCTGGGCCCAGTCTCCAGTACCAAAACCAAAACCAAAACCCACTGTGTGGTTTTTTGGGTTGTTTTGCAGGGCTGGGGTGTAGTTCATTATTAGAGCTCTTACCTAGCACGGTCCAGGCTCTGGGCTGGATCTCCAAACTCTCTCTCTCTCTCTCTCTCTCTCTCTCTCTCACACACACACACAGTAGTATAATACTTGTGCAGTGTTCTGCATGGCATTTGAATTTTTTGGATTATTACTATATTCTGGAGACATTTCCACATCAGTACCCAGGGGACACCTGCATTTCTAGCATTTCTCTGTCAGTCTTGGTACTTATGTTTTCGCTCTCACAGATGGATCCTTAGAGCAGTGCCAGCACAAACAGAGTCACGGTTTACCAGTTCTCCATTAACACTCAAGCTCCCGATTCTTGGTTAGACTAACAAGGCTGCCACAGATACCCAGCCCCCTTCTTCACCTAGCTGCACACAGCCACATGACAAAGTCCTCCAAGTGGAATGGCCAAGCCTCTGGGTAATGAGGGCCACAGAAACACTAAGATACCAGCAGCTCACCTGCACTCAGCACTGACCATGGAAGAGGCCCTGGCACGTCTAACAAACCCTCCCAGCCCGCCCAGGAGGTTGGTATTATTATTATCCCACTCTGTAGAGGAGCAAACAGGCAGAGAGAGACCGGGTCACCTGCCCAAGGTTGCACAGCTAGTAAATGGCTGAAGTGGGGTTGGAACCCGGGTACTCGGATTCTTCAGGCCCCACTTGCAAGCCAGGAGGCTGCACTGCCTAGGGGCAGGGACAGTTTTGATAAACACTGCCACATTGCCCGGGAGGAGCCTTTCTCTGCGCGCCCTTTTCCGCGGTGGGGGAGGCTGCGCCCCGGCCCGCAGCAGCCCCCGCAGCAGCAGGGCAGGATGCACCCCGCGCACTCCCTCCAGGGCCAGGAGTGCAGGGCGTCCCGGCCGCGCGCCCGGCCCACCTCGATGGCGGGCAGCGTCTTGCTGGCCTCGGTGCTGCTCTCGCCCAGGATGCTGCCGGCCGAGCGGCCCTCGCACTCGTAGCGGAAGCGCATGCCGCGCTGCTTCGGCTGCTCCGTGATGACCAGGTGCGGCCGCGGGCCCGGCCCGGGCGCGGGCGGCATCAGCCGACCCAGGGTGCAGCTCCAGGGCGGCGGCGTGGCGGGCGGCGCCGAGGGGCCCAGGGTGACGGTGCTCAGCGAGGCCGCCCCGCGGGACACCAGGCGCAGCTGCCCCTCGCCGTGCCCGGGCGCTCCGTCCAGACCGAAGCCATTCTCCTTGATGTACTCGTCGATGATCTCTGCGGGAGACAGAAACGCGTGACCCGCCCATCCCACCCACCGGCCTCCAGGCCCAGGCCTTGCCTCCCCGGGGGCGCAGGGCACAGGGCCCCGCTGGGCACGCCAAGGCCCTGCCCCTCCTCGCAACCACCAGCAGCCCCAGAGGCTGAGCCAGAAACCTGGGGTCGGTCTGCTTCTGTTTTCTTCCCCCCCTAAATAGACTCCCGTCCCTAACACTCCTGAACCCATTCTCCGTGCCACCCCTCACCTGGCTAAGGGAAGGGCCGACCCGGGGTACTGCCTCTTGCTAACACTAATGACAACTGCTCTGCAGCAGCCACCAGGGCTCCAGCTGGAAGGTCATCTTCTCCTGGGCCACACAGAGAGGCCCCTGCCTCAGCCTTCCTGCCTGGTAGCAGCAGGGTTACAGGTGACAGTCACCAGCCTCTGCAAGGGCCTTCTTCAACGCCCACCATCTATCTGTGTAGTAGCCAGGCACAGTGCCACAGGCCTGTAATCCCAGTGACGCCAGAGGCTGAGACAGAAGAATTCCAAGTTCAAGGGCAGCCTCAGCAAGGTAGGCAGCCCTAAGCAACTTAGTAAGACCCTGTCTCAAAAAAAATGGGTAAACTTCCAATCCATGTCGCACTTCTACCTCTGTGTTTCGGTTTCAAAATGTTTACTTTCTGCTTATTCTCCCTGTCCCCACCGCTGTCCCAGGTCACCTCCTTTACCTCCCACTGGACCACAGCAGTCCCAAGCTCACAGCCCCCTCTTCCTGCCTTTCCAGCCTGCATCTGTCCCCAGTGCACGGCCAGAGGGATTTGGGGATGTCCAGGCCTGTCCCTTCTCTGCTTGGAAACCTCCTGGGAGTCAGACTCCACACTCCCCCCAGCCAGCTCCCCGCCCTCCAGAAAACCAGCTCCAGCCCCGTCTGTTCCTTGCACCCAAGAAGCCTGGCCCCCTTCAGGGCCTTGTATTTGTTCTTCCCACGGCTGTCCTGAACCCCACTTTTCCCCACTCAACCCACACCGGCTCCCCTCAAATTTCTCGTCTCCATTCACATGTTACTCTGTCATTCACTCTCTGGCCTTGGAGTTGAGCCCCACTCAACTTCCACCCCCTAAATCGACTCCCATCCCTAACACTCCTGAACCCATTCTCTGTGCCACCTCCATGAGGGCAGGGACTTTGCTTTGTTCAGGACTTTGACGGGTCCCGGAGCTCAGAGCAGTGCCTGGTTCCCAGGCAGGCGGGCTCACTGACGTCCCTGAAGGAGGCCATAATAGTAAATCGGAGGCTGCTGACTCCGCTGAGGAATCCCAGTTTCAAGGACGGCTCAGGATCTTGGGAGCATGACTCGGTGCAAATGAGAGCCGCACTGTCACCCTCCTCACCCGAGGCCAGGCCTCCCCCTGCCCCCATGTGAGCACCTGGGCCCTCCGCCTCCTGCATGCCTGCCTCCTGGTACTCACCCAATTCATCTGTGGAAGGAAGAGAAAGAAAGGTTCAGAAAGTGGCCAGGGTCTGTCATCTGTCCAGACAGATCCCCAACCCTGTCCCTCCTGTGACCCTTCCCCCAGCCTCTGTCCTGAGATACCCTAGGATGACTCCTGGGCATCAGCCCCAGCCCCCATCTTCCCCTTCTGGGATAACCTCCCTTCACCCCCCAGTTCTGGGGTCCAGCATTAGGGCATCCTCAAACTCAGCCAGCGCCTCCCCTAACATTCAGACCAGGGATTGGAAGCATTGCTGGGGGCTATCACCAGGGGAAAATGAACCCCCTTGATTCTGAGCAAACTGAGTGGAGGTTCCTTCCTGTCGTCCCCCCGGGGGCCCTCGCAGGCTGCCTCAAGGGCCGAGGAGGCAGATCTTCAGCTGCCTGGATCCAAGCCCCATCCTCCGGGCCCCAGTGCCCACCCACACCCCAGACTGCCCCCGGCTTCCTGGGAGAGGACTAGCAGTGATGCCGGGTCCTCAGGGAAGCCCCTGTCTCCTGCAGGAAAACTCAACCCAGAAAGGGGCCGTGGAGAAACCGAAACCAACCTCCCGTCATTCCACGACAGGACAGGACCAGGGGAAGCCCAGAGGGCACAAGTGAGCCTAGGAGTCACCCAGAGAGGAGGTCCGGCCCAGCCAGAGGCTCCGCCCAGGGATGCCTTGCAGGCCACTGGCTGGGGACCTGTCCTGTGCCAGATCTAGCCTCCTCCTCTGTGCTCAGGGAGTGGCAGCTGGCAGCCAGACTTTGCCCCTTACAAAGTGGTTACCCCTGTCCTTTATCTCAAGCCATCTGTGAAGTCAGTAGGGTGCCTCGGTCCCCATTAGGGAACCAGGGACAGTGAGGATGGGAGGGAGAAAGGGACCTGCTTGAGGTCACTGTCAAGTTACTTCAACTTGGAAAATCCATCTATGCTGGAGGCAGTGGGGACCCAAAGGCAAGTCAGATTTGGGGCCCTTAAGCATCTCCAGGCTGCAGTGGGAGGCTGAGTCCTGGGTGATGGTGGCTGGAGCTTGGGGTTAACAGCTTCAGTTCAAGTTCAAGCACTGCTACCTGCTAGTTGTGTGGCCTTGTGCCACCACTTAAATTTTTTGTGCTTGGTTTCTTCATCTGTAAAATGGGAACAATAATGTCTACCTTGTTAAGCTTGAATAATTTTAAAAATCAAACAATACTTGGAACTGTCACACGGTAAGCAAGACATAAATGCTGGCTGCTATTAGACAAAGTGTTGGGGGACAAGTTTTTAGGGACATAGGTAATTCCTTCCCCTCTCTGGATCTCAGTTTGTCTATGAAATGGGAAAGTTGGGAGACACGGCTTTACAACATAAGGGGTACAGTACACAGGGCTGGTCTGAATCCCAGTGGTCACTGGCCTATAGCCAAGTCTGTTAACTTCTCTGAGCCTCCTCTATTAAATGAGGTCTGAGCTCCTACATAAGGAGGTAATGTCAGGTTTCAAGAGCACACACATAAACTGCTAAGTACTGCATGCGACCACCCTATGCCCTCCATAAAGCTTGGCTAATATTATCTGAAGTCTTCTTTCAGCCAGGAAATGTTAAGAACTTCTTCTCCTTACTCAAGGCTCTATTCAGATAACAGACTTGCTACCATTCAGGGTCAGCCAGGATGGGTCACATGGGAGCAGAAAGCTGATGATGTATTTGCTGCCTCAGGGCCTTTGCCACAGGTTGGTCTCTTCCTGAATGCTCTTCTCCCAGCTCTTTGCATGGCTCCCTCCTACTACTCCTTCAGATTTCTGTGCAAACATCACCTCCTAGACAGGTTTTCCTGGCCACTTTATCCAAGACAGTCCCCCAAGCCCCTGACTCCAGTCCCTTTGTTTTATAATTTTCATGGCACTGATGAGGATTTGATATATCCTGTCATTATAATGATTTCTACCTGTCTCCTCCCACAGACTGTGAGTCCCAAAAAGTGGGGAACGTGTCTGACCAATCCTCAGTGTGTCCCCAAGGCCCAGCCTGTGTTTATGAAAATGAAGGGAACTTTCCCTCTGTCTCCCTAGGTCTCCTGACCCCACCCTACTGTTAAATGTCATTGACCCTAAGATTTCATCATGGCCCTTATTAGGTTTTATAATCCCACATCAACTTATTGTTTATATATTCTCCTCCCCATCCAGGGAAGGAGTCCTATGAGGGCAGGGCTGGGGTTATCTCAGTCACTGCTATGTCCCCAGCCCTGCCCAGCACAGGGCCAGATATAGAACAGTCACTCGATAAATATTATTGAATAGATGACATCAGAAATCACTCTCATTTGAAACCAAAGATCTGGGTCTCAGGCCACACAAGTCTTGTTCCTGCCCAGAACCAGTGCATGGACTGTATCTGTCCCCAATGCCATTTCCTACCTTCCCCCACCCTCACCCCCACCCCGAACTCTCACATGTGCTGGAGAAGCTACAGCACCTCCTTTATGGCCGCCCCAGCATTCCTGAGGTCCATCCCAAGATTCTACTTTCAGACAGAGGCCCAGACCCTGCCAATGGGGACCACTGCACAGTCACAATGTCAGGACTCTATCCCTGCCCTCCAAATCCCAGCAAACTTATAACAGACAGGGTGTCAGAATTTGGTGAGGATTCTGCACTTCCTTAGGCAGCACTGAATTTTGGAAGGCACAGGCTAAGGTACCTTATAAACAGTTCTCAGCATCTCTTGGGAACTTCCTAAAAATGCAAACTCTCATGGCCCATCCCCAGACCCAGGTAGGACCTAACAGTCTGTTTAATAAGCCCTCTGGGTGATTTCAATGCACATGGTTTAAACACTATTGTATAGACTGCCTAAAAATTATTATTAGCATTATTATTACACCTCTAACAGTTTACACTTATCGAGCCTTTACCATGTGCCACACACTGCTTTGCAAGTTCACTGTTATCAACTTATTGTATCCTCTCAATCTCCCTAAAAGGGAGGCACTAATGTTGTGCCCATTTTACAGATTAGGACAACCGAGGCCCAGACAGGGTAAGCGACTCACAGACATTCATACAGTGAGGGGGCAGTGGCACCAGCATGGCAAGGCCAGCTCTAAAGACCAAGATGGCAGTCTCTACCTTCTGCTATACCATGGAGAATCTCTTCCCGGGGCCCTTCTTGCAAAGTAAGTGATTACTTTTACCTGTGAAACTCCTAACAGTCCAGAAAGTACGGACACCTAGGGGGCCATCTCAAAGGGCAGGAAGGGACACAGCTCATCAAAGGTGGGCTGACTTCTGCAAATCCCCCAGACAGAGGCATGCCCAATGCTGTCAACACAGGGAGGGGCTCCCCCCACCCCATCCCGCACGTACAGGTGGACAGGGCTGCGGAAGGCTGCTCACCTGTGGTCCTGGAAACGCTCAGTGAGATCGAGGAGAGGTCATTAGACCCTAGGAAAGGGAGGCATGTCTCAGAGAGTGCTGGGCAGCAAGACGAACAGGGGATTATCCAAGCCCCACCTAGTTCCTGTCCCTTGGGTCAGGCCCCTCCCCCTACCTGCAGAGTCGGGCCAAGTTTCCTTGCCAACTCTTGGACAGGTCCTGACCCTTCCTTTCTGCCATTCCTCACCCTTCATCACACCCAAGACCTGTCCGAGCCTCTTCCCCTTAAGGTGAGGCTCAGAGGACCCATTCTCTACCTGTTAGGAAATCCCCCACCCCCTTCCTTCTCTCAGAGCCGGACGCGACCCCTTCACTTTTCCACTGTCACGCCCGCCCCTTCTCTCTCGGGAGGCAGGCCCCACCCCTCCTCATTCCCTGCCCCAGGCCCCGCCCTTCGTTTTCAGAACACGCCTTTCCCCTCCGCTCCGCAGCCAGGCCCCGCCCCCTCGTCTCCCCGAGTCGGGTTCTGCTTCCTCCTTTGCGTTAAGCCCCGCCCCTTCCAGCCCTCACCATCAGGCCCCGCCCCATCCGTGGCGCGTCCTTTCCTCCCTCTCGGAGCCTAGCCCCGCCCCTATGCCCCTCAATAGCCGCTCCAGCTCCTCCTTCTCAGAGTCAGGCCCCACCCCTTCTCCCTCTGGAAGCCGGGCCCCGCCCCTTTCTCTGCCTCAGAGTGAGGCCCCGCCCCCTTCTCACTCCACAGCGGGACGCCTCGCCAGTACCTTGGGCCGGACCCTTCATCATCCTCTGCCTCCTTCCCTCTAATACAGTGTCCCACAACCCTCACATTCTCCCCGCGCAATACCTAGACTCTTGTAGGAACCCCCAGGTTGCTCCAGGACCCCCAGAACTCCCACATCTCCAGCCCCGCCCCAGACTCCTCTCCCGAACACCGGCTCCGCTTACCCAAGGCCCCCAGCTCCGGCGCAGCGGGCGGTCTGGCGACACGGCGACTCGGCATGGCCCGGCCAGTGGGGACAGAAGGCCAGGAGGCCGGCCCAGACGCACGCGGATAGGCCGGACAACCAGGAGGCACAGTCTGGCAGGCGATCGCGGGTCGGGAGAGCGGCGCAGGGGCTGGGGCCGCAGGCCGGGCAAGACGCGCGGCGCCCGGGGTTGCGGGGGGCGCCGGGCCGGGCCGGGCGGGCGGTGGGAGGGGGCGGGGCGGCGGAATTCCCCGGCGCCGCCAGCCTGAGCGCCCATTGGTCTACACCCCCGTCGTGACGTCACGCCAGGGAAACGGGAAAACCCCCGCGCGTCACGTGGTCGTGGGGGCGGGGCCGACCGGGAAGGGGCGTCTGGGTGCTGTGGAGGGGCCAGGCGAGCGTCACTGCCCATTACCCTGGACAGCACAACTGAAACCTGCCTAGGGCCACTCATGCCTTGCCCATTGAGCAAGCCGGGAAACTGAGCCCCTGTCTATGTTTTCCTAGTAGGACTTGAGCGTGCTGTTTCTCAGGCTGGAAGGGAAGCTTCAGAAGTTGTGCTACTGAGACATGTCATTGATAATAATGATCTTTATGAAATCCCCGAGGTTTCTTCAGCTGTAAATTAGGAATGAAGTTCACATAGTGAACGGCTAAAGCTGGAATGCCAGAATGTACATTTGTTTTGTTTCTTGTTGTATCCCCAATGCAGAACACAACACAGTAGGGTAGGTGTCCAATATTTCTGAATGAATGGATGGATGTTTTATTTGTTCTTCCCCATGGCCTCTCCAAAACACTTAGAAATGGCACAGAGTGCTTGGCACAATGGTGCACACCTGTAATCCCAGCAACTCTGCAGGCTGAGGCAGGAGGATGGCAAATTTGGAACTCAAAAATTTAGAGAGACCCTGCCTCAAAGGCAGGGGCAGCTGGGGATGTTGCTCGGTGGTAGAGCTCCTGGGTTCAATCCCAGTAGTAAATAAATAAATAGATAGATAGATAGATAATAAATAAATAAATAAATGCAGAGCGCTTTGAGTGGCAAGGCTAATAACTCAGTCTGGGAATGGTGACAGCAGGAGCCCTGCTGTACACATGGAGCAGTGTGCCCACAGTGCTTGGTACCTGGCAAGAGCACCAGGAGCATTTGCTAGAATTAGGATTATTGCAGAGGAGACTGAGGCTCAAAGAGGGATCACACTTGGCTAGATTACATCCCTAAGCCTTCCATGTTCCTGAGAAAGTAACTATTAGGTTCAAACTCAGTTGCACCCCCAGACCTCAGAGCCAGAGTTTGATATCCTCCCTGTTTGCTTGTGAAAAATCTGGACGTTCCAGTTCTTCTCTTCATGACCCATGTGGACTAATTGATCCATTCAACATACACTTATTTAACTGGGCACAGTGATGCACACCTGTACTCCCAGCAGCTCAGGAGGCTGAGGCATGAGGATTGAAAGTTCAAAGCCAGCCTCAGCAACTTAGTGAGACCCTGTCTCAAGATGAAAACTAAAAAGGGCTGGGGATGTGGCTCAGTGGTTAGGCACCCCTGGGTTCAATCCCTGGTATGTGTTATTTAGCGTGACCTGTGTGCTGTAACTTGCATGGGCAGTAGGGCACAGGGCTCAGAAGCTCAGACCTTGTAGCTTTTCATATACAGCAGTGATTCTCAAAAGTGTGGCTTCCAACCTTTCAGGTGATTGCTGGAGGGCCAAGTTGGAGAATTAATGCTATTGAGCAAACTTCATCTTTGCAAAGGACCATATAGCAAATGGGTTAGGCTTTAGGTTTTGAGGGCCAGGTGGTCTCAACTGACAAATCTGCAATTGCGCACAACCAGCCAACAGCAGTACAAAAGTAATGAGTGTAGCCAGGCATGGTGGGGCACACCTGTAATCCAGGGACTCCAGAGAATTGCAATTCAAGGTCAGCCTCAGCAACTTAGTAAAACCCTCTCTCAAAATAAAAATAAAAAGGACTGGGATATAGCTCAGCAATAAGGCACCACTGGGTTCAATCCCCAGTTCAAAAAAAAAAGAAAGAAAGAAAGAAAAAGAAGTAATGAAAAAAAAAGAAAAAGAAGTAATGAGTGTGGCTATGGGCTATGTTCCAACAACATATTATTTTATGGATATCACAAGTGAAATTTCACTGGGAATGTAGCTCAGAGGCAGGACACTTGCCTAGCATGTATGAGGCCAGTGTTCAGTTTCCAATACTGAAAAAAGTTATAAAATAATGAAATTTCATATAATTTTCACATAAAGCAATATATTCTTTCTTCCTGCCAGGTGGGTTATGTGCTGACATCATAACGTGGCTGGAGAGAGGCACACCCCACAGTGGCATGAAACTAATTCTTACACTGTGAGCCACAAAAGGAGCATGAGAGATTCTTCTTTAGATTGTAACAACCACTTAAAAATGTAAAAATAATACAAAAACTATTGGAGGGCTGGGGATGTGGCTCAAGCGGTAGCGCGCTCGCCTGGCATTCGTGCCGCCCGGGTTCGATCCTCAGCACCACATACCAACAAAGACGTTGTGTCCGCCGAGAACTAAAAACAAATATCAAAAACTATTGGAAACTGAGCCCCCGCCTGGATTTGGCATGTAGGCCTTAGAGAGGTTGTGCTTTAAGGACTGGAATCAGACTGACTGCGTTCAAATCCTAGACCTCAATTGCTGGGTGACTTCAGATAACTGATTTCATCTCTGAACTTGTTTCCCAGCTGTAGAGTGGGTCTTCAGTAGGACAGCTGTGGGAATTAAATACTGATAATATGCTGGATATGGTGGCACATGCCTATAGTCCCTCCTCCCTAGGCAGGAGGAGCCTAGGAATTTGAGGGTCAGTTGGAGCAACGTGGGACCCCATCTCAAAACAATCTATTCATCATCGTAATAGTAGTGGTAGACCCTTGGATGTAGCTCTTCCCCGTGACAGGTGTACCGTCCTACACACTTTAGGTCCTCAGTACTTGCATTTCGATGTTTGTATGACCTTGGACAAACTCCTTCATTTCTGCAGGGCTGTTTCCTCATCTGCTAGATGAGGCTGAACAGCAAGCTTCATAGGATTGCTGTGAACGCTCCATTTACAGACTTATTACACATGATGTGGGCACAGTGGTGCATGCCTGTACTCCCCGCTACTTGGAAGGCTGAAACAGGAGGATTGCAAGTTCAAGGCCAGCCTGGGCAACTTACCAAGACCCTGTCTCAAAATAAAAAGGGGCTGCAGATACAGCTCAGTGGTAGAGCACTGCTGGGTTCAATCTCTAGGGGTGGGAAAAAAGTGTCACATTCTGTTCAACAGTGCTAGGCACAGTTCTAAAAGCTGGGGACATAACAAGGAACCCACAGACAAAAGCCCTTGCCATCAAGGAGCCAAAATCCAAGAGAGACGTAAAATAGATAAATAACTACACATCTGGTGGTGGTGCTACTGTAGAAGAAAAGAACAGTAAATATGAATAGAATTTGGGGGGACACTGGGAGGGTCTGAGGTGACATTTGAGTAGAGATCTGAAGGTAAGGGATCCATCCATGTGGATAACTGGGGGGAGCATGTTCAGGGTACAGGGAAGAAGTGCAAAGGCCCTGAGGTAGGGAAATGTGTAGCTTAAGAGCAGTGAGGGGGGCTGGAGATGTGGCTCAAGCGGTAGCGCGCTCGCCTGGCATGCGTGCGGCCCGGGTTCGATCCTCAGCACCACATACCAACAAAGATGTTGTGTCTGCCGAGAACTAAAAAATAAATTAAAAAAAAAAAAAAAAGCAGTGAGGAAGGGGAAGCTGGCCAGCGGGGCAGCCTGGGCCATGTGGGAGGCCCTCAGCAACCTAGCAAGATCCTGTCTCAAAAAAGGAAAAGGGCTGGGGATGTGGCTCAGGGGTTAAGCACCCCTGGGTTTAATCCCTGGTACCAAAACACCAAGAGTGGAGAGGAAACTGGAGCAGTGACTGAGGGAAGAGGTAGAGATTGGGCCAGCACGACTGGCTGGCAAGGCAGTGGGGACACGGAGTGACATTCAGTTCAATGGGTAAAGCACACCACATTAGGTGCTTAGACTAGAGCCTGGCTCCTGGGGCCCGACAAACAGCGGCTCCTACTATGTCAGGCCCATGAGCCCACCAGATTCCCCTCTGCTTCTTGTCAGGACTCATGCTTGTTGAATGAATAACTGAACGCATGCCCTGAGGATTTCTGTAGGCGTGCATCCACAGGGTAGGCAGCACTATTTTGGTCCCAGCACAGGGGGAGGGCGTCGGGGAGCATCTGTGGACTGTGTCCGTGTGTCCAGATGTGGGCCGAGCAAGTTGCACCTTTCTGGCTGTGGCTGTGGCGGTGAATGTGCGCCAGGGAGCCAGCAGTCCACAGTCCTGGCTGTGTGCTCACAGGTCTTGGCTGAGTGGAGGAGACTGACCCCTCACCCCAGTGATGACCCTGACGGGCAGGGCTGCCACCAGAGCCTAGATAGAGGACTTGGGGCTCAGGGAGGGCATCCTGGAGGTGGCGGCCCCCAAGCTGCAACCTGGAGGGTGCCCGGGGCATGAAGTTTTGAGCCAGGTATGTTCTAGGCAGGGAATGGCAAGCTAAGGAGCCCAGCAGAGCAGCCGTGCGTGGAGTCTGGGGTCTTTCTAAGGGTACTGGGGAGCCATGGCCTGATATAGAGTGGGGCAGGGAATGAGGCAGATCTAGGCTACCTGAGGGACAGAGCCGCCCACAGTGCCACACATGGGGCTCAGTGAGTACGGACACCTCCCAGGTGCTTCCCCTGCCAGGCTCTGCAGACTGGGAAGCAAGGAGAGCCTACAACGTGGCCCTCAGCCTGGCCTCCTCTGAGCTAAGAGACCAACCCTCCCACAGATGCAGGTGACCAGGGTCCAACCCCCTCCAGGATGCAGGAGCCCAGCCACCTCACTCTAGCGGGCAAAGTCCCACTCGTGACACCGCAGAGGCGGCAAAGCATCACACCCGGGAGTGGAGTGGGTCCTCGGCACGCAGCCTCCCACGCCTGGTGCTGCAGCAGCTGGGGTGCTGCTCCCTGCCACAGCTGAGGTGAGCGGCAGCACATCAGGTGCGTGTCATGACACGTCACACTGAGAGCAGGAAACCTGAGCATAGCGTCCCTCCGTCCCTCCCAGCAGCTGCCGTGAGTCAGGAGGAGGCCTCCTGTGGGCAGCGCTCCTGGCCCTGCCTGG